CTTAGGTTCTAGGTCGTCGTAGGTGCCGTGGGTATTGGGTAGCTCTCTCCCTCCTTAAGAGTGCAAGTGTCCGCAATTGACGGCGAGTATAATTAATGATTAAAGAAGGATATACAGCGAGAGAAACGGCGAACAGATTGAGAGGCAATTAGATGAGGTGGGGAATAGATGCTTGGGGGAAGCAGAGGTGTATGGTTTGCTGAGAGCCCGGTTCAATTGAACGCTCACGCGCTACAATGAAGTGTGATGCAGCTAGGAGAGGGACGAACGAAGGGATGAAAGGGAGAGAGAGCTTTAGAGATATGACGACGGAGTCAGAGGTCCAGGCGACATGCTACTCTATATATCTCTGACCTTGCTCTCACGCCTAGCTCGGTCTTTTTTTTTTTTTTCCTTTTTTTCAAGTTGCCCCGTCCTTTTTTGCAGTGTCTCGCTCTTTTTGCCTACATATTCAGATTCATGCTGGATACGTAACGAGCGAATGACAGGGAACAGGCCACACGGGTTGGGTGGATGGGCGCCCACCTGCTGAAAGCCAAAAGTCTGGGGCAAGTCGACAGTAACTTAGTTAGTCGAACAGCCGCAGGGTTTAGGATGAGGTACATTCCCAATCCTTTTACGTTTGTTCCAGACAGGAATCCACCGATGCAAAGCTCGAGCTGATATTTATCAGTAACGAAGCCTTCCAAGGGTGTGTGTGCGAGGGAAATAGCAAAAGAAGAGCTCGGGTGCTCGCACAGATCCTATCAGTGGGTCGGTTGATAGTTATTTGAGCTATTGAGAGGCCGAAAGAGAGATGGAGAGTTGGGCAAAACGTTTATTAGAGTTGAAAAATGCAGAGCACCTGTTCAAGTGGGATTGAAAAATTGAAGCTCACGATGGGAACATCCCACTACTGGAGGATGAGAATTGAGAATTGCTTTTTCGCCCAAGCTCGAAGATGGGGGGATATCAGCCCCATCAATACTGTCGATGTGAGTATAATGTATACGCTCTGTACAGTACTGGATAGGCATTCAGCCTGAAGGGGGAGGTCGTTAATGCTGCCACATCACCGGAGCATTGTGGTGGAGGCCGTCCCATGTCCCTGGCAGGATACTGGTCGTCTCGCTGCCTCGCAGCTTGCTAGCTACTCCAAACCGTCAGCCGTTGATTGACTATAGCCTTGAGAAACGGGGGTCACAAGCCGGCTCGACTCGACTCTGCCTGGAATAATCTCTCCCTTACCTTATCATTTTTGCGTGTCTGTCGGTCCATCCACGGCCATAAGCCACGAGATATACACGCATCCGGCCGGTTGTGCGCGTCATGGCAAAAGCAAGCGAGAAGGCAAAAGCGAAGTCGTCGTCGATGGTTGTTTGTTTGTTTGTCGTTTTTTATTCGAGGTTGCGGTTGAAGCTGAGGGACGTCGTCTTATTTCCTCTTTGGGAGTAAAAAGAGGCCCCGGCGCTCTCTTTTCCTTTTTTGCGCGGGCTTCAACTTCAACTCCATCAACTTCAACGCAACTTCATATCACAAACAGCGTCGACGACCAGCTTGCGCCAGCTAACTAGCAATACACCCACTCGAGTTGCTCGGAGAAACACTTGGAAAAGTGCTGTATACGCCAGCCAGCGGATCCATACCCCAGTGTCAACGAATGGTACGCGATGCCCGCGCCCAGCGCTAAGTTACGCACGCTAATCACGCTACTGTAGGCGGTGCTGCCTCGACTCCCTCTCGGATCTTGAGTTGAGAATGCAGGCAAAGTAACCCGTACCATCCCATCGATGGTGCTTGTAGTGCTTGTGCTGCTTGTGCTCATGCGATATCGACTACCCCGGGTTGTTTTCGGACCCAGAGAATGGGGAGTCTGCAAACATCTGGCAGATGTACATATTAGGTAGCCTTCAAGTCGCGGGATGCAAGTGACACCAGTCGCAAACACATCAATCGATAGTCCTGCCCGGCTTGCATCCGTCCGTCTCTCATCTTTTTGTTTTCTTCTAGCTGCGTCCGTGTCTCGTCCTTCGCTGGAGCCGCTGAAGCTTGCCGCCCTCCCCCACCGGCCGTGATTTGCTCTTCTCGGGTCTCTCTGTACGCTGGACGGAGTATAAAAAATGTAAACTGACCCTAGGCGTTCTAGATCGATATCCACTTGATATTTTTAGTTTTGGACTGAGGCAGGGGGCCTCGTTGTGGAAGTCACAAGCCAGTCAAGAAGGGCAAAATATGTTTGAGATCGCAACACACACACCCACATAGCAGGAGAAATGGAGTCTCGGGGTCCTGCTGGATTCTCTTGGGGGTACATCTGTCGCTCATCGTATCGACCAGACATGTCTACTTAGCCCCGGGTGCTTGGCGAAGTCTCACCCCAGTTGCCGGATACATGCGCCAGTTGACGCAGCCACAGAAGCGATTGGGAATCACAGTCGACAGCTCGCCACTCCTTATCATCAACGTCTGTATGGACAGAGTGCCTTCATGCCGGCTGGGGAAAGCATTCCCAGACTGGGATAATTAGACAACCACGAAGAGGAGATAAAAAAAAAAAAAGAAAAAGAACGAAAACGAAAATGAAAATCCAACCATTTGTGCATCCACATCGGTGCCTGCAACATTCGCTGAATTGTTCAATCCATGCACCTATCCATGGCCTATAGTACGATTTCGCTGGAGGTGATTCTCCATTTTTAGCTGTTGGTCACACGGACCCCCCTACACCATGATCTACAGATGGCCCCTACAAAATCGAGTCGTGGCAGAAATCAAAAAACCACGCTGCTCCTGTCGTTAGTTTGTGTTAACTAACCCCAGAACTAACTAGTTAGCTAGTTAGTTTGTTATCGATAAAACTAGGCTCGAGGAGGGGCCATGGCATGTATCTCTTCTCTATTTTGAGGCCACTTGCGCGTGCTCTTTCCCGCAGTCGAAGTGTGCTGATACATCGACGATTACACTGACTTGATCTGTGTAGACGCCCGGGCTTGCGTGTTCTCTAGCTCCCCGAGCCCCAGACATGTGCTGGAGACCCGATTGTCCTGACAGGGAAGTTAGAAAGGTTCGCTACTACATCTCCATATGGTGGAGAGGGAGAGGGACGGGGACCACAAATCCCCTGACTATCCGTAACTCCCTGTCTCTAGGCTTTATCCTTCCCTCTTTCGATTTGGCCCTCTCCAGTAGACACAAATCACTAATCCATCACTAATCATGATCCATAGTTAGTTACCCAACCCACTCGATCAAGCTAACTATAGTAGCATATGGACCTGGAAGGTTAGGTTCACTCGCCTCTCAACGCAGGGAGGAACCCCAAGGTTACAAATGTTTTGCTAGATTCCACACTTCATTCAAAATAAAGAATCAGAATGTGTGCTTTGGGTGAACTGCTTAAATGCACCCTGAACAACCAGCCGCTTCCCCTGAGTTTTTTTCCCTTTGTCCGGAGCTGCAGTGTGCATGCATCGGACGCCATTCCATCCTGAAGTCTCGCAGGGAAAAATAATTAGTTATGTCTACATCCTCCGCGATTTACGGAACGCAGAGATGCAGAGATACTGCGTATACGAGCCGCACTTGGGCCTACATGGTCTATACACGAAGTTGACAGCGTGCAAACGATCCATACGAATGCAACGGGTTTATAGATATCAATCAGGGCTGAAGAGCAAACGCCATCCCCCATCCATCAACTTCCCTGGCCGGTCAGATCCAGAATATGTGTTATCATGTAGTAACACCGCCCTATCTTCAACCATCCCATGGGAAGCATCCGGGGAGACATCTCCCTCGAATCCGGGCACAACTGCAGGATCCTTTGATCTCATGGTAAATTAAGATACATAGAAACGCATTATGGGGTCCCTAAACGAGAGTATGTACCAGCATCCCATAAGGGTCCGGGATCAAATGCAAGCCACCTCATCAACTTGACAGGCATATACAATAGTCGATATGTGTTTATGCACAATTTCTCGTCTTTCACGGAATGGATGTATACAGGTTAGTCTAAAAGGAGTAAATCAGTACTCGTTAATCGAGGTTATCACATTTATAGCGTCCGTCTCCACGGCCTGGACCTCCTACACTCTGACCAGGCTTGCATTCGCGTTGTTTTCTCCTTCTTTGTGGTCCACCGTCCGGCACCCTCTGGAGGTCCCCCATAAACCTACTCCGTACATGGTACCTAATCACGGACTTATCTCGCGTCCTCGAAGCCTCTTCCGATATTAACCTCTACACGGGGCGTACGATGCAAGTAATAAAGCGCTCAGACATCATCTGAGTTGCTCCCTTGTTGGCTTCTGCCCAAACCGAACGGCTCACAGCATTGTTGATCTCTGGTTGTTTTCTCCATCGAGTGGATGTTTGATCATCATGACTACTACTTACAGCAATCGCTATGCCGGCCTATCTGCCATTCATCCTTACATTAAATGCCGTCTCCCACCCTTCCCCTCCACCCCTCCCTTCTATCCGCAGACTCGGCCCGCATGGAGATGGTTGACAGAAGCCTCTAGATCGCGGCCGGGAGACGGGTGGCAGCCGGCTGAAACTAAAATCAAAAGCGGTAATACATCACGCTTCCGCAAGCTGCACCTAGATATGCAGTGTTATTGCCTCCCATCGAATCCACAAAAGCGGAAGCGAGGGAAATAGTTATTATCGCACTTGGGGGTTTCAACCCTGCTGGCTATGAGGGCGGGTTGATGCAATGAATATACCAATGGACCCGGTTGGCGCTTTGAGTGCATGTCAAACCGGCGTTCAAAAGACGACAGCAAGATCTAGAATTTATTATGGGGCTGAAGGACGGTAGAGTCTAGGGGCGGGAAGCAAATCGTTTGTGGGATTTTGTATAGAAGGATCCCTCCCTGACGTGCGGGGACATCCGTGGCCGGGTCAGTTGTGGGCAGATCTTGTGAATGGAGAGATTGCCAACATACACAATATAGTCCTACATCTTTTCGCGTGTCCTTCATTCCCTTTCCACCGAGCTTGTGATAAGGCCCGCTTCAGGGCTGACCAAGGAGCTACATCTATCAAGGTGTGAAATTGGTATATAGTTATATATAATTTATATAACGTTGGGTCCGATCCATCAAGTTACTCCAGGGTATCTCCCTTGTATGTCCCCATACGAGGCTTTTTTTTAAACTCCTGATAGCCGCTGCTATTATTTCAAGTTGTGCAATTGGCCGTCTTAGGCGCTGTGATATAGTTCGATATCCCAACTAGAGATGATCGGTGTTGATCGTCCGTAAATCGCACGCAAGGGGAAGGGCTGGTTCGGCGGCTGTCTGTGCGATCAGATCTGACGGTATGCATCCGATATGCATAGGGCCCAGCGGCGGGTACTGCTTAAAAAATCAGGTTTAAGGGGTGGAAGTCTGCATGGCAATGGCCATGGATTGTCCATGAACAGACATACTACATCCAAAAGAACTTGGAATTCAAGTGATGGTAAGTAGAAAGGGGCCGGTTGAGTATGTATATAGATAGATTCATTGGATATATTGACAGTAAGGGCAGCCAACCGACGTAACCAGGAAATAAAATTATCATGACATGATAAAGCATAATTATCGGCTACCGCATGTATGCAAGGCAAAATTGGAAATGAAAAAAAGAGGAAAAAGAGCATTAACAGAACATTCGTGAAAGTCGGTGCTTGATTGCCGGTAGAAAGCCCTGGGGATGAGGATACTCAGTATCATCCCACTGTTCGGCATCACATTCCAGACGACCGGAGTCAATGTCGACTTCCATGAGGTCAATGACCTTGGTGCGGAACCACAGTTTGTGGCCGACGAACAAGACAACGAAGAGGATCAAGCTGACGTATGCGATGAAGAAATTGGAGGTATTCCAGGGAACGAAAGCGGTGAATCCCTGGGTGAGGATGATGAGTACGGTGAATCCTAGACCATAATAGGCCAGGAAAGGTTGGAAGGGTGCCTTGTATGGCAGTGACTCTCTGCGGATGCCGCGGGCCGCAAGGGCGTGCATGAAACGGATGTGGCACCCGTTGATGCAGGACCAGGAGATGAAACCGGCGATACTGCTGATGTTCAGGAACCAGCCGAACACAGTTCCGCCGTTGTTTGAAAGGTTAAGGAATCCAAGGAAACCGATGGAGGAGGTAAAGAGAACCGCTAAGATCGGGACACCGCCTCTGGTGGTTTTTTTGAAGAAACTGGGAGCGCATCTCTCGGTTGCGAGACCGACGACGATACGACTGCCACAGTAGACGTTTGAGTTGGCAGCCGAAAGCACGACAGTGAGCAGGACGGCGTTGATAATGTCTGGGAGCACCTTGACGCCGGCTAGCTTAGCTGCAATGACGAAGGGAGAGGCAGAAGCATCAGTGTTGCTGGAGAGGAGGTTCTTGTTGGTGTAGGGGATGAGGATGCCGATGAAGAAGACGGTCAGGACGAAGAGGAAGAGGATACGGTAGAAGGTCTTCTTGATGGCGGAGGGAACGGCCTTGCGGGGATTCTGTGTCTCTCCGGCAGCAATACCGACGAGCTCAGTGCCCTGGTAGGAGAAACCAGCCTGGACCAGGACGGACCAGAAGCCCAGGAACTTGCCAAGGGGCACTCTGTGCTCTCCGATGACATCGAGCAAGTAAGGAGCGAATGCGCCTGGCTCACGCCAGTACTTGAATCCGATGTATCCCTGGTCACCCACGCCGGCATTGACGCAGATGGCAAAGAGCATGAATCCCACGACAGTAATGACCTTGATGGAGGAGAACCAGAACTCGACTTCACCGTAGAAATTTACGGGGAGCAAGTTAAGAGATGTAATGAAGGCCCAGAAGACGCCGATGAAGATGGCCACAGACAGGTGAGGGGCCCAGTACTGTATGATCAGACCGGTAGCCGTGAGCTCGAGGGCGAACGTGATGGCCCAAGAGAACCAGTATATCCAGCCCATAGCAAAACCCAGGCTGGGATCGACGAAGCGGGTAGCGTAGGAGGTGAAGGCACCGGCAATGGGGATGTAGGTAGCCATCTCGCCCAGCGAGGCGATGACTGAGAAGACGAGGGATCCCACAAAGGCATAGGCAATCAGAGCACCGGCAGGACCGGATTTGGCGACGGCAGAGCCGCTACCGATGAAGAGACCAGTTCCAATGGTACCACCTAGCACAGTAGTGTTAGCTTGTCGATAGCGTACATACATACATACATATACATGCGCCAGCCATGCATATGCATGAAGGGGACGAAAAACGAGAGGGAAGAGGGTATCCTACCGATAGCTATCATCTGCAAGTGTCGGCTCTTGAGTCTTCTCTTGAGCTCGACGCCGGCGGTGACGACATCGTGCTTTTCGATATCAGCGCCAGCCTCTTTGGCGTAGGCATTGCTGGTCATCGTGATCTCGTCTGCTCGTCCCATGATGGAGGTGAGGGCGAAGGCGACTCTCGTCGTCTCTCAGCATCCAACGAAGAACCAGCCCAGCAGCAGCAGCAGCAGCAGCAGCAAACAGCAAACAGCAAACAGCAAACAGCAAACTGCAAGCAGAAACAGGAAGAATAATAACACACTCCGTGAGGTAACCGAGGGGAGGACGGCGAACTTTTTATGACTCTTGCTTCTCTTTGCTTTTTTGGCCGTCAAGAAGCAGCAAAATCTCCACCGGGAGGAGATTTTTTATCAGCAGCCAGCCTGGGCAGAGAGGGAGGAGAAGAGTTTTCCGTCTCGACAGAGGCGCACGAGAGACTCCAGAGATAAGTATTCCGTTAGTTCGGAAAGGAAGAGAGGAAGACTGCGCAGAGCCAGCAGCAGAAGCGGAGGAGGCTAAGGAAACCCCAGGCCTTGTCCGCCGGCCAAACCGTATCAAAGTAAAATGATGGAATAAATAACCAGTTAAAAAGAAGGCAGCTTCAAAGTGGCGAACCCTGGCCGTGATCGCGACGGGCTCGCAGGCCTGGTCGATGGTTCGCTGTCGGATGCTCCGTCGTGAGAACATGGGGAGCTGTTGGATGGAGATATTGATCTCGATGTTGAAGCGGTTGGATGGATTTGATATCAGCCAAACGGCGGCCGCTCAGCACGTCTTCAGCCTGGCTCTTCTTCCTCTCGTCCTCTTCGCCGTCGCCGTCTCTGTCTCCTCCCTCATCTCTCTCTCTCTCTCTCTCTTTATCCTTACCTGGCGGCCACTTTATATACACGTGACCTATTTCATCACGTGCAGGCGCGACGCGTCTAAAAAAGATCTTCAACTCCCCCACAGGCTCTCGCTCATTCGTGCCCCCGTCTCATCGGCCACTGGATCCTTGCCCTCCCGTCCGAAATGCGTGACCTCCTACGCCCTTTGTTCTGGAGTCCTGCCCGCCGTCTGGTTGGCTGGGTTCGCTCGTCAAGAGCCAGGAGAGCCAGGGGCCAGGAGAACAGACAGGACGGTCTCTCGCCTGAGAATGCGGAGAAGAGATGGAGCTAAGCGTAGCGTCATTGAAAGCGGCCTTTGCCCCCCCCCCAGTCGTCCAGTCGTACTATTGTTATACCCCAGGGATGTTGGGTTGAGTTGGCCCTCTCTCGCACATTTAATTGACCCCTGATATCTGCATGGTTGCGACATGGTTGGTGCATCAGTCGGGTTCTCGTGCGTTGCTGACTGCGGCTACGGCCTTTTTTGATTACGGGAAGCCACCCCCATGTCAGGAGAAGAAGAAGAAGAAGAAGAAGAAAAGCAGCCAAAAGAAAAGAAAGCAACAGTCAAAAATCTCCCGATGGAAGCCAAAAGAAGCCTCTGATAGCCCTCTAGAAAAACTCTTTTACCTAATGGCACATGGAAAGGTGATCGAAAGCCATTACTGTTCCAAGCGGGCTAATTAACCGGTGACGCCCCCCTGGAGATGGTTGGCCGCCTCCTTTTATTAATTTTCTTGTTTCTTTCTTTTCCTTGTCTAGCAGTATACGGAGTAGTGGTTGTGTTAACAGGTAGCATGTTTCCAGAAGTTCTCTTGCTCCAGGTCCTCCACACTGAGGCTGTGTAGCCTGGTATGGGGAAACCGACTGTCCGGGGTCTCTGCACACGAATCATCGGGGTCGTATCTCAGATAGTGTAATGTACAGATACCAGTTGAGCGCAGGAAGGCCAGCACACGATTGTAATTCAGGCCTACCTGCTCCACGCCGTGACTATCATCGGAAAGGCAGAAGCGTCCCTTTCTCGCCATGAATTCCTGTAGGCAGCCGTTAGATAATACAAGCATTAACAATGGGAGATCAAGACAAAAGGAAGGAAAGGGGCGGAAAAGGGAGCGGGTTACCCTGCATATCTCAGCTTTGGGGTACGGCTCGCTCATCCCCTTACGCAGACTGGCCGAGTTCAGCTCGAGCAGGCCGCCGTAGCCAGCAATGAAGTCGAGGTTCCGCAGTATCTTCTGCCAGACGTTTGGCCACCGGGTAAAGCTGCCGTCTGGCTCGTCGCTCTTCAGCCGTATCAGGTCCATATGGCCGACGACCGGCGGCTTGAGCGCCTGCAGCATCGCCAGCTGGTCGTCGAAGTAGGCCTCAAACAGCTGCTCGTCCGTCCCGCCAGACAGCTCGCGCGCCTGGCGGTACGTAGGCCCGTCGTAGTCCACCGGAATCGTGTGGACATGGTGCACCGAGCCAACGAAGAAGTCGAACGGGAACCTCGCCAGCGACCGCTCGATCAGCGAGAGCGACGACGGCCGGATCCAGTCCGTCTCGAAGCCAATTGGGATGTTGATGGCCTGCTTGAACTTGTCACGCAGCCTTAGCGCTTCCTGGAAGTACGCCGCCTCGTTCTCGAAGCATTCTTCCTCGGTGAAGGTCTGTAACCGGCAGAGTTAGCCCTCGCTCTCCTCGCAGGATATAATTAGACAGGCTTACCTCCTCCGGGTAGAAGTCTATCTTCTCGCGCGGCATGTGTTCGGACAGGCAGAAGACTCGCATCTCCTGCCCGATGGCCGTCTGGATGGTCTCCTCGAGCTGGTCTTTGGCATGGCCAGGGCAGAACTGGCCCGAATGGCTGTGGTGAGAGAACGGCATCTCTCTCTCTCTCTCTCTCTCTCTCTCTCTCTCTCTCCCTGTCTGTCTGTCTCCTGCGCGCCCAGTCTATCTGTCTCTCTATCTATATCGATCTATGTCGTCTGGCCAAAAGTACGCTTCATGAAACATCGCCGGCCGAGACGGTCTGCTGGCTGGCTGGCTTCTTATATAGTCATAGTTTTCCGCTGCGGCGATTTCATGTGAGTTTCTTCGGGCCAAACTTCAGAATGACAGTAAAAATATACAGATACCAACGTCAACCATTTGCTCCGCTCCTTATTTCCGCCGGAGTAAAGGAGTCGATGGAA